CTGCCTCCCCTGAGGGAACCCCGCGGCGCGGGCAGGGCCGGGCCGGCCGAGGGGGACTTCCCGGCTCCCTCCGGCCTCCCTGCAGGGCCCCGAGGCCAGAGCCGGCTCGCATAGATTAAAATTAAATCGGTGCATAAATTACAAATGACACCTGTGTATAGAAGCGATGCGCCCCTTGCAGCCTTCGTTATCTGGATCGCTGACGTTCCTGCATTACTGTTACCATCTACTGGATTGGAGTCGGGGCAGTTCAACGCTGCGTCCTGTTAATGTCATGTTTCCAGCATCCCTGATGGCCCTTTCCCCATACATCAATCCTCAAAAGTTTTCAGCATCTTTCTGGCATTGGGCACCCCAGAAGTCCTCCAGGGTACTGGGCACCGGTGCATCGGAGCGGTGTTTCACACAGCTGTGTCCTCCTACGCTTACGTTGGCGGTTTTTATGTGTCTAGATTTTTCCCATTAGTATAGTACCTTATCTCGTTACCCTGGGATTACTTGGGGGTTGCTGGACAGTTTATTGGTTGGGTAGATTTTCCTCCTAACCTTGCCAGAGTCTCCGTATGGACCAGAAATGGTTCAGTAAATGGGTACAGAAAACCAGGCGTCTGCGGAAAGGTCGCATCACTGCCCCCCCGCCGCCTGCCGTTCAGAAAACTCTCAACGTTTTTATTTTCATCATGAAAATGCCTTCTAACGTCATATTGTCACCCTAAATGTAATTGCCAGGTAAACATATTTAGTCTGCTTTTCCAGGTATTCCTCTTCTATCAACCTGTCCCAATCAATTATTATAACAATAATTAATATGAACGTGGACCTGCTGAGCTGTTTCTCTAGGAAGACGTGAGGCTGTTGGACAAGTCAGGAAGGTAGTTAAACCCAAACCGTCAGCAAGGCTAAATTGTTTAAATTGCAAACCTGTTAACCGAGCTCCTGGCACATTGCTAATGACAGTAGCTGGGTGTTTTCCTGCGCACATTAGGCAGAGGTAGCCCTCGAGGCATGATTTGGAAGAGAACATTACAAACTAATTCAGGAAGAGGACTATTTTCAAGGCAAATGCATGGATCTGAGAGAGGCTAGCAAGCCGGATGATCAGAGAGGGACTAAATGAGCTTGATCAAGAAGGACTGCGTAACGTGCGCCTCAGCACAATCTTCTTAGAGGCTCTACTGAATGAAACACCTTTTCCTGTTCGCAAATTCACAAACACGGTCTCAGTAAGGGATCTGCGCAAGCATCTGGAGAAAGCAGATTTGGATTCAGAGAAGAGCAGCCTCCTGCTGTTCTGCCGCCTGAGCCGGGCGCCTGCGCAATCGCGGTCCCAGGCTGCAGCTCAGCACCAGCGCGAACTGAAGTCGGGCCTTCTTGGCTGGATGCGCGTGTTCGGCGTCGGGCTTGTAAACCACATGTGGGATTTGTGTGGGTGAAGGAGAGCTGAGCAAAAGGGACGGTAACAGAATGAGCCTCTGCTGAGATTTGAGAGGAATCCCCGAGAACTCGCCTGTATGAATGAGTGTTTCAAATCCTTTAGTAGCGACCTTCGCTGGATACTCCTCCACAGAAGATGTCAAGGACAATGTGGTGAAGACGACTTGAATGCCGAATCTTCGTTCAATCTGTTGCTTTGATTTTCTTTTAAGAATGTAAACAGTTTGAGTTTTGCCTCCTGCAGAGAACTCAAATTAAGAACTGTTGCATCACTTATGTAGCTGTTCAGTTGGAGTATTTGTCTATGTTTGCCTCTTGACTTTGATCGCATTTCTCTGGGACAATTTATTGCTTGGGAAAAGCTCCAAAGTATCTCTTCTCTACTTGCTAGTCTGCCACATGGCACCGAGCCCCCCAGCTAGGGGAATAACCACTTGTTTGGAGCCTACCACCCCAGCGTGGCACAAAGCTGCCGCGGGCTTGAACAGGCTGCCTGAACCAGACAGAGAAGCCTTCATACTGAAAGATATCCGTCATCAGTAACAGAAGTTTTAGCACAACAGGGGAATGTCGTGGTAGTTATTTAAAAAGCCAGAAAAATTGTCAAATGCTAGCACAAATGAGGCCTTTAAGTGCAGGGATTCTTGTAAATTTGCAGGATACTTGTTTGTGTAAACTGCAGTCTCTGTCTCCAGCAGAGAAAGAGCCCATGGCTTATCCCAAAGTCTATTCATGTTCCTCTTGCAGAGCACTCTCTCATTCTTCAAACACAAAAATCAGAAGGTACGACGACGAGTCCTTTAACCACAGCCAGCCGCAGCATTCTTTCACCCTGCAACTTGGCTGGGTGCGGGAGCTGTCCTGCCGCCTTCTCTCCAAGTAAGTTCTCTCAGACCTTAATAGGAATTGTCTTTTTCAGGAACCCACAGGGCCTTGCCCCTAAAAGGGGAAGGCAAATTTATTCATCTTTCCTCTGACCAAGGAAAAAAAAAACATATAATGCCAAATTAAAGAGCTGAGCTAACAATTAAAATTAACAGGGAATGACAGACCATTTGCAGAGTTACCTATCCAGCAGGGTATTTTTGTAACTCGCTGTGCGTGTGTGAGAATTGCACTAGCGAAAGAGGAAGAAAGAGTCAGGTAAGAGCAAGGCTCCATACTCTGCAGAAGCAGAGGGTGGCACTCTCTGCACAGCACAAGGCCCAAGCGTGGTGCTTTCCAGTTACAGCTATTATAGCTACAAACATGTTTTTCTAAATATTTCCTTAGCAGAGATCTTGTTCTCTAACCACTGACAACACCATGTTCCAATTCCCTGTGCTTATTGCATGTTTTTCTGCTTACATTTTTCTATTATTTGGTGTCACTCAGTCTGGAAAAACTTCATTAAAAAAGAAACCTGTGCTACCCACATATAAGTAGCTCTATTACTGGCAGACTGCAATCAGGCTCAGGTATCCAGCTCTCCTCTCACAGCCACTGAGGAAAAAAATATTTTTGTATTAAATACAGACTATGGAACTAGAATTCAGGTCTTCAGAAATTTGCTTTATTAAAGAATTCCTTAATATTTTATTTATATATTTTATTTACTTATAAATTTTATCTATATATGTGAAACATTTATGCAGCATTCTACCTAAGCAATTTTTAGCATGTCTGTTCTAGCATGGATAAGTATTTAAAGTGTTACTTTCCTGACTCATTTCTATAAACAGGGGAGACGCTCAGGTGTAACTTTGGCATGTCTGACTTAACAACGTAGCTCAGAATGGATTTAATCAACCTCTACTCTACATAAGAGAAGGCTGGGAAAGCATAAAAAGCCATGTTGTGTAACCAGAAGGCTTGCAGATGAGAACTCTTGTGTACAGAGAATAAAATAAGATTTAAGGCCTTGTTACTGAAAGTCTCTTGCCAATGCCCTCCTCCTGTTTAAAGCTGGATTCGGTTTGGTCACACCAGCTGTTCTGAAAAACAGAAACTGCTAAGAGCTGCATTCATTTCTGTGGGACATTCCACTAGAGTCTCCCTGGGCGAGGAGGGTTACTTTTGGTATCAAGATGCCTTACATATTTAAGGAAATTAATTCAAAAAGTTCTCTTTCCATGTATCAGTGTGTGTGTGTGAGAGAGTGGATGGAAATTACTGGGTTTTAGTGGTTTTAAGCTTAGATTTCCCACAATAAATGATTTTGCTGCCAGCCTGGAAGCAGTAAGTTTCTACTTTTTTTCCTGGAAATGACTTTCCCAGCCTGGGGCTACTGGTTAAGAAAGTGCTGGCATTACACACACAAGTCCTATCCACTAACTTCATAAATGTCCCTGTACCACTGAAATGTAGTGCTTGCTTCAGCATTTCAAGAGCCCTCAAAATGGCACAGTATAGTAGGTAACACCGGCCAGTCCTCGGAAGGACTTGCTAAAGAGCATGGAAACCTTGAGTTTTTCAACAGGGAGCCCAACACGAAGGACAGGACATTTACTTTCTTAAAGATGTCTCAACAACTGTGGAAGAGGCTTGGCCTTTGTTCAGGGACGCGCGCAGTTGCACCTTCCTGACGCACGGTGGGCACGGGGTACGACTCCGATCTGGGCTGTGTGGCAACTATGTGAGAGGTGAAGCTGTAGAGAGTGTAAGCTAGGAAATAAAGAGTAGGCAGGAAGCAAAGCCCCTGGTACCCTTCTGTCCTTTTGTGATCCTTCCAGTAAATCTATTGCTGGTCTCCCTCCAGCTGCCTTGCGTGGCCCTCCAACGGGCAGCTGGGCCAGACACCGTGGGGAGCCAGCGCACCAGCTAGATGTTCCCTGGAAGGGGCATTAGAAGCCCTGCTTGCAGGCTCAGTGCACCACCTGCAAGCCTGGCTTCATGGCCGGTACCTTCGGTGGGCGGCTAGACACCTTTGGGACCTAGTCTTCCACGCTGCCTGGCGTGGGACGTTGTCCATGCCCGTACAGAGTCCCACTGCCTGCTCGCAGAGGGAGCTCATAAATGTAAAACATAATCTTCATAAAAACTATGGCTTGAAAGGGTCACCGATCTGAGCTGAAAATACGTACGAGCAGACTGCTCTAAGTTTGGTCCTTAGTTCTAGATGCTAAGTCACTGCTAAGCCACAGTGATGAAGTGTTGTGTGGACAGGTCCTGCTAGCAGGGGGATGCTGAGATCAGGGAACAAAGACATATTGACAGAATTTGCTAGGCCAAGAACAGAGTAAACACAAACATGAGAAATCAGCACACGTTTGTGTCTGTGCGACGCGCTCAAGGTTGGAACAGCAGCATAGCGCACACAGCAGCCTCTTTGCCTCCAAAGGATTACGGGTGCCTGCACTCAGATGACCCCTGGAAAGGAATCCAAATAACAGGGACGTAAGATCCTTAGAGAGCTGCATTGCTAGACTTGGGCATGTTCTCCCTCTTTCATTTAGATGTTTTTATATTATTATTGCAGCCCTGTCCAAGTGAAGAAAAAATCACTTTTTGAATGCCCTTTTCTGCCAGCTAGTCCTTGACTTTGACCTCGACAACTGTGCATTAACATAAGGAAACAGCAGACGGAATCTCTGTATTTACTTCTGTGACACTGAGCCTCGTGTGGAAAAAAAAGGAGATTTCTTGTTTCAGGGATTTTTCAAAGCTTAACGTACATTTATGGTGACATCGCCCTGAGATTTAACTGCGAGTGTTAAGAAAAGCAATGCACCACAGCGCTATGCTACAGAGACCAGACCGCCCTTCAGGCAGAAGTGTTCTGCCTGGAAAAATCCCTTCCCTCTCAAAAACCCCTCCTGCCAGAGATGCCAAGTGTCCTGGGTTATGTGTTTATTCAGAATAGATATAATGTAGTTGTACATGCTTTTTCAGTTGACAGGTAACTCAAACAAATGTTACCCAGGAGGAGCAAAATGTAAATTTGAACATGAGCAATCACAGTAAATAACTGACAAGGTCGTAGCCTAGGAACACCATTTACACAGAATTTGCCCTGAAAAGAAAAGGGCGAAATAAGAATTGGCCACACAAAGAATTATTTGCATCTTCTGCCTTCAGTGCAAGAAGGATAAACAACCCCATTAAGCTACCTAGACGTTCCTCAGGTGCCCTCCCATCGAAGGGCTGTTTCTACACAAGCAAATGCAAAGGTCCCAGGGAGGCAGCGTGGCCCAGGAGGGCAGCGAGCAGCCGGAGGCCCGTCCCCGAGTCCCCCTCAGCCTTGGGCTAGTCACGTTCTTCCTTTTTCTAGGTGTACGATAAAGGATAGCGGGCCGCTTCATCTCACAAGCACTGCAAGGAGTACGTGGCTATGTTTCAGCTCTTTGGGAGTCAAGCATTATTTCCTACAGACAGAACACGCAACCCCCAGAGCAGGTGAATAGCCCCGGATTACACAGGAGCGCAGCGTCAGCGTGCGTTCAACGCCAGACTGCTGCCTCCGTGCCGGTGCCCAGCCTCTCCGCTTTCATTGCAAAGTATGAATTCAAGACGTTGCTTCCGATTTACACAATGAAATGACAATGTGGAAAGTCAGATACCAAGTACATTCATGCATTTATGAAAAAAAAAAAAGGTTTTCTTTGACACCAGCCCTCCAACTTCATGCTTATTATATGCACCCACTTGGACACCAACTGAAGGTATTATGCAGCTTTTTTTTCCCATTGATTACATTGTCCTCTGAAAACCAGGTTAATCTCTGCTCTTCGGGAAAGAGGAATTCGGGAACTGGGATGCCAGCGCAGCCCAGCAGCCTGGCTACTCCATTGTCCCTTTTCCAGTAGCGGCCAGCACAAGAGTTTTTTGGGAAAGGTGTAAGAAAACCCGTAACAACCTGCTGCTCGGCAGATTTCCCTCCCATGCCAGACAGTTAGAGCTGGGTCTGTGAGGGCTCCTTGTGCTGCTGATGGTGAGGGGGTAACTGAGCTACAAAAAAGCAGCTCCAAGTGTAAAACCACAGCATTTTGTCAAATACTTTTAAAACAGATTATTGCACCTCTTCCTGCAGAATAGAAGAATTAACTGCAGCTAGCAGCGTATGTTCGCTGCCACCTGCAAGGACAGAATAATTTTTGGTTGCTGAGGCCTGTGGGGCTGCCCGACGCTCACTGCAGCGTGAGGCGCGACTGGACGGGGTACAGGAGAGGGTCTCATTTGGAAAACCAGAAAACTGCCTCAGAAGCGAGGAGTGTCCCCTGCCCTCCCATCATCCCCAGCCAGGCTACGCGGCTGCAGTACCCCGACCGCCGCTTTTGTGCAGCTCCCCAGGGTGCCCAGCGGTCTTCCTTCCCCGTCCTTTGCTTCCTGCTCAGGTGAAGCTGGGGTGATTTTTCCTCCTTGGAAAGACCTGAGCCCTTTTCCTATTTCCCACTCCTCTGACAATTCACTCCCCTGGCCGGGCTGCAGGGCCGGGTAGGCTGCCCAGGACCCCAGCCCCTCCGCCTCCCCACCTCGCAGCAGGGGAAACTTTTTCCCGCAGGAGCCCGCT